AGGCAGGAAACAAGCCCTCCCAGAGCGAGGCGGGGACAGGCTGAGGGAGGGCTCCGGCGCACTTACACGATGGCACTCACTCCCCGGCAGTAGCGCTCCCACATGCTGCGGAAACGGGGCTGTCCCCCGATGTCCCAGAGCTGAGCAAGACAGGGCGAGGTGGTGTCAGCAGCAGGCAGGTACCAAGCACTCCACCCCGCCCACAGCCCTGCCCGGCCAGGCCCCCCAATCTGCCCAGGTCCCTGCTCCCACCCTCTTCCTCTGTCCAGGCCCCGCTGGCTGCCTGGGGCCCAAGCCTCTGCTTCCCTTCACCTTCTCCTCCCAAGGCCTCAGGTGCCCTCCCCCAACCTCTCTGCCCCCCGACACACACACACACACACACACACACACACACACACACACACACACGAGGGGGGAGCAGGGCCCCCCGCGCTCACCTTGATGGTCACGTTCCCCTTGGTGATTTTCCGCATGTTGAACCCCACGGTGGGGATCATGTCCTCATTGAACTGTCCTGACTGGAGGGAGAGTCAGAATTGGAAAAGGGGCAAACCCCACAGACAGCAGGGCTGCAGAGAGCCAGTGAGCAGGCCCCGGGGGCAGGGGGCCGCGGGCCGGCCCAGAGGCGGCTGGGACTTTCGGGCAGGACCTGGAGATCGCCTGTGAACCAAGACGCCTACCAGTCTCTCTACCAAGACCTAGAGGACACCTTTCCGAAGTCCACCAAGTCCCCCTCGGGACAGAAGCCCCTGTGCTGGACCTAGACTCCAGCGGAGAGGAACGCGTACCTCCCAGCAGACCCGAACGGGCCAACCTGGGACAGTCAAGTGTTTGAAGGGAAGCAGACGTGTTTCCAACAAGATGGAAATATTCAAGCCAAAACTTGGGGGATGGTAAATCGGCCAACCCCAAAATGCAGGGCACACCATGGTGGTGCTTATTTACACCCCACTCCTGTGGGGGTGGGTCACCCCCAGTCTGCCCTCTGTTGACTGCATGAGTCCCCCTGGACAAGAGCATCTGCGGGGAGGGGCCAGTTCTATATTAGGAACATTAGTAAATGCTGAATAATTAGGAGTTGGCTGTAATTCTCTTTCCCAGAACCCATTTTCATATTCTAATAGTTTCTATTTCTCCCTCTCAATTGTCGCCAAGACCTCCAGATCTTTCTAAAGAAGCCACAGGCCTCCCATAAGGCCAGACCAAACTCCCTCCAGGGTCATCTCCACGTTCATGTGCAGGACCCTTCTGTTGTCCAGGCTGAAGACGATGGGACTGGTTTAACCTTGAACCTGGGGGTGACGACCTTGTTCCTTTACTGGGCCACTTTCTTCTGCCCGGTGGTGGGTCACACACAGAGGTCGGTGCTCTGACCATTAGAAGGTGTGGGTGATGGTTTCTTCTTCAGAGCCTGTAAGCCTGACTGAAGACCCCCAGGGTCCCCTCTGAATGACAGCGCCCTGACTCTCTTTAATCCGGGGGACCCACCCAGCTCGTCGGCCAGGTCCTCGGACGTGAGGACCAAGGACCCATGACTCTTGCTCATGACAACAGAGCAAGGGCCCCCAACCTGGGCCCACACGGGCTTCGGAGACTCCTGACGCCCCCGACACTGCACAGTCCGTGTGCACACACTTCTGTTTGTGTGTGTTCTCTGGGGAAAGCGCCTCAGAGTTTTCTCAGCTATCAAAAGGCTCTGAGAGCCCCTGACTGTTGGGATCCCTGAAGGAGCCACGGGGTGCAGCAGCGTGGGTGCCTGCTGGATTAACGTCCACTCCATCCCCATCCTGGCCGGTGAAGACAGTCTGAGGAACAAAGCCCAGTTACCACTAATCTCTCGCCGTGGGAGAGCTGGGACAAGACGCTGGAACCTCTGGGCCCCAGGGTTTCCTTCTGTGAACTGGTGGAAAGGGTTTTGGATTTCGAGACGTTGGCAAATGAGGGTTATAAACACTTGGACATGGTGACCGTACAGTACGAGGACCCATCACTGCTCTCTGACGGTTAGAAGACCCACCGGCTCCCGTCACATGAAAAGGCCAGCCTGGCAGAATGTAATGTGGGCAAAGGGGGTGCCAGGAGGACCCCCAGGGAGCCAGGCTCCTGGCACCAGCATCTCCAGCCTGGCTGTGAGTCGCAGCTCATTTGGGACCCGGTTAAAACATCATTTCTCTGCTCACACCTCCTGGTGCCACAAGTTCCACACTGACGATCAGAAGTCCCCCTTATCCACGGTTTCACTTTCTGCAGTTTCAGGCACCCGCAGTCAGCCACAGGCCAAAAGTATTAAATGGAAAATTCCAGAAATAAACTACTCCTAAGTTTTAAATGGTGTGCCGTTCTGAGTATCATGATGAAATCTCGCGCCACCCTGCTCTGTCCCACCTGGGAGGGAAGCCGTCCCTTTGCCCAGTGACTCCATGCTGTACGTACAGGACAATCAGATACATAACTTTCGTTACAGTCTATTGTTATAACTGTTCTATTTTGTTAGTTACTGTTGCTAATCTTACTGTGCCTCATTAACAAATTAAACTTTATCACAGGTATGTGTGTACAGGAAAAAACAGTCTATATAGCACCCACTGGGGATCCTGGAACATACCCGTGGATACGAGGGGATGACTGTCACCCTAAAGTCAGCTGGTTCAACCTCTTGTCTCTGACTTGAGTTCCATTTGGGCCCTTCCACCTTGGGTCAGCTCCGACTCCCAAAGTTCTCTATAATGAGTCAAACATCCATCTTCCTGTAACTCCCACCCACTCCTACGTCTTCCCCTCGTGCACCCCAAGACTAGTTCTTCCTTAGGACAGCCGTCCACACTTGTAAATATTTGAGAACGGCCTTCTCGGCTCACTTAGGCAAAACATCTACTTTCTAACATCACATAGTTCAGAATTCAAAAGATGAGTTTTAGTTTCTTAGAAGCATTATAAAATCTCTATAATTTTTTTCCAGCTCATATCAGTCGGCTACATCAACTCAGTTTGTATTTACAGTCAGACCTCACATAGTGAGTAGAAAAAAGGGGCTGAGAGAAGGCTGCAACAAACAGGCCATGCGCCCAGGGGACGGAGGTTGCGAGTCACTGGTTATACACGGGGGCAGGGGGCAGTGCAGGCACCCAGAGGACCTGGGGACCTGGAGTGACCCGCACCCTGACATCCCCACTGCAGTCCATGGGATGGCTTTTCTTGGGAAGCACCTTTAAAGGGGCATTTGCTTGCACTTTTAGGATGTGTGAGTGAAGGGCAAATTTCACATCAAAAGGGGGACGCATGGGCCGGGGAGGGGACGTCCCTGGACATCACAGGCCTCTTTACCCGGGCAGTACAGGGTGTGACTCTTGCACTCTGTCTCTGACCTGCTGTAGCATCCTAGTCTCTGGATGAGACACTGGCCTGGAAGAGAACCCCCTGACCAGGAAACGGAGCCACCAGGGCACCGGTGGGACGGAGTCCAGGAGCACGGCTCCAGGTATGAGGACCCATGTGGATCAGAGGTGACACCTAAGCTCAGCCAGGAGAGTGGCAGCGACTTGTTTCTCCTCTTGGCCTGACCCCACAGACTTCACCCTGATCTAAGTGCACCCCGGCCTGCAGCTCAGGGTCCAGGCGCTGGGCTCCCGCTCGAGGAGCACAGAGCCCAGGTCAAGGGCAAGTCTAACCATCGGTCTGTGGCCCAGGGCCAGGGTGGACAGGAGCCCGGGTGCGTGTTAGCTCGGACACCGGCGCACCACAAAACCCAGCGTGGGCCTGAAGGGGCAGAGGTCATCTGCAGCGCATGTCGGGGACAGGAAGCTGGTGCCCACATGTGTGATCAGGGCCGCCTGGCCCTCCAGCCTCAGGCAGTGCTCCTTGTGGGACAGTTGGGGAGGGTGGGCAGCAGTGCGGGCAGGCGGGTGGGCCACGCGTCGCTGACCTATCTCACCAGCATTTTGGGCCAGTCTCTGGCCAATCCACAATTCTCAGAAACCCCCGTTTAGGGAGTAGGGCCAGTCCCCTGGACAAGCCCGGCCAGGCCCCAGCCTCCCTGAACCCCACAAGCCCAGTCCAGCTGGCCCGGGCCTCGGAAACGCAGGCCGCAGCCATGACTGCAGCCTCAGCTCACACAGATACAGCTCATCTCCCCCCCCCACCCCCTTTTTTTTTTGAGACAGAGACTTTAACTCCTTCCCCACCACCGCCCTGGCTCTGCAAGTCTCACACCGGCCCACCTCCGGCCTGACTCGGGGACGCCCTCAGAGCCACTGTCGCCCGTGTCGCCAGGCTGGGCAGCGCCCCTCCAGCTCATCCTCGGGTCCGCAGCCCCTCCTGCTGCAACTTCCGAGCCTGGAGGAGGCTCCCAACTCCTTCCCGACGCCGGCCTCCCCGACCCCCGCGAGCGCCCCGGTAGAGGAGGGGTTCCTGGAGGCGGAGTCTGGGCCGGNACAATAAAAACAGGAGTTCAAACCTCAGCAGAACAGGACTCTGAGATCCCCAGAGGGCCCCACCCGACACCAGTGATGAGGGGTGGGCTTGGGGGAGAGGGCGGCGGGGGGCTTCAGGATCACAGGGCGGGTTCCTGGTCCGAGGAGGCGGGCCGCGGTCTCAGCTTCTCCGTGACTTTGAGTGTTGAATAAGCCACTGTAGTGTGATGTCTGGGTGGGGACAAGAGAGAGGGTGACAGGGCTTCCAGTGCTGAGCCCGCTGGGGAGTGACGTAAGCCCAGGGCTCCCCAAACCGCAGCCAGGACCAACCCATGGGGCGTCAGGGCCCAGAGCCATGCAGCTCCAAACAGCCCCAGGCAGGTGGCAAGGGCGTCTGGGTGGCCAGACGGGGCCCGGGAAGCACAAGTCCAGCCCCGGGATGTCACAGGGCCAAGGCGGGGTGATCCCACAGCCAGGCGGTGGCCCCGTTGGGCGGGTGCTTGGAACCTGGCCTCTCCCAGGGGAACCACAGAGCTCTGGGTTTAGAGCACAGTCCTGGAGTGACAGACTGTGGGAGCCACTGCCCTCCATCCCACCCCCGCCACGTCCCAGAGTCAGCAGCTCCCCAGACTCACGCACCGATGTTGTCCTTTTCTTTGCAGGAGATGGAGTAGCAGCAGATCTCTCGGTCCTGGATGGCGGACAGGTTCCTGCGGGGAGACCAGAGTGGAATCTGCCCGGGGCCTGGGGCTAGGGCACAAGGGGAGGGGCTCTGGGAGGCGGGCTCTGCTGCCCCCGTGTGGCAGACACTGAGAGCAGCAGCGAGCCGGCTGGCCCTGGAGCCCGGGGCATTCAGGGACAGGGAGCAGGGACAGGGACGTCGCCCGACTCACATTTTCTCAATCAGCTCCTTCTCATCCAGTGCTCCCGGGAGGTCTCGCTTGTTGCCCAGGACTAGCACCTACAGAGGAGGGGACACAGGACCAGGTCCAGCGCGGCCCCCTTCCCTCTCCGCACCCCGGCGGCTCCCGGCCCCCGACCATGCCCCCCACTCCCCGCTGGCTCACAGGGATCCCCTGCAGCTGGGGCTTATCCAGCAGGTTGTGCAACTCATTCTTGGAGGCCTCAATCTTCTCCTGGTCAGCGGCGTCCACCATGTACCTGGGGAAGGGGACGGGGCAGCGTGCTGACCGAGCTGGTGGCCACCGCTCTGGGTCAGCTGGGCCCTGGCCAGGGGCTCCAGGAAAGTTGTCTGAATTGATGGCAGGGACACCTGCTGGGGCTCCCGGGCCTCAGTGGCCCTCCTGACCCCTCAGTGTCCCCTCTGGAGAAGCCTTCACTTGGGTGCCCGGGGTTGGGCCCTTGGGGATTTGCTGGAGTCCCTCCCAAGGTGACCCTCTATCGGTTGAGTGAAAAAGAAAAGGGAAGCCCAGAAGGTTTCCTTGCAGAAATCAGCTTAAACACAACGAAAACTGAACAATCTTCTGTTTGGGCATATGCATGAGGGAAAAATTATTTTTTAAAAG